TGGGCAGAAAGTTCGTGAAACTCTTTTTTTTTTTTTTTTTTGGGTCCGGTCGTGGGGACTGAACTCTGGGCTTGGGCGCTGTCCCTCAGCTCTTCAGCTCAAGGCTAGCACTCTACCACTTGAGCCACAGCGCCACTTCTATTTTTTTCTTTTTGCTTATGTGGTGCTGAGGAATCGAACCCAGGGCCTCATGCAAGGCAAGCCCTCTACCACTGAGCTACCTTCCCAGCCCATTCGTGAAATTCTTATCTCCAATAAACCACCAGAAAACCGGAAGTGGTGTTGTGGCTCAAGAGGTAGAGCGCTCACCTTGAGCTGAAGAGCTGAGTGACAGCACCCAGGCCCAGAGTTCAAGCTCCACAACTGACAAACTACAACAACAACAACAAAAAGAGAGGATCTGGAGCAAGGCTGGAAGGGTTTGGCCTATCCACCCGGGAGATATCCACCCTGCTTGAGCCTCTGCTGCTGCCACTGCTGACAAAGAAGGTACACAAATTTCACCCCTGTCCATATACCTGGCTCACTGCCAGTCTAGTCAGCCTGCTTTGGTCCTCAGAGTAGGCAGGTCCACCAGCCCTTTGAAGACCTTTCTAGGTCTCTGTCACCCCAGCACCTCTTGGCACACTTAGCCTTGTCTGTTTTTCCCCCCTTTCTTGTTGTAGGACTGTTTAGTATTTCTGAGATTTTTACGCTTTACTATGTATAAACATTTGCTCTCACATCTAAGACTCTAAGGTCTTTCTATGGCTTATGGTGGAGAAATTTAATCAAAGAGTTGGAAGACAAGGGACTAATATTCTAAATATACAAGGACCTCAAGAAACTAACACCCTCTCAAATCAATAACTCATTTAATAAATGGGCAAAGGAGCTAAATAGAGACGTTTTAGAAGCAAGAATGGCCAATAAACACATGAAGAAATGTTCTACATCCCTGGACATAAAGGAAATGAAAGAACACAGTGATTCCATCTCACCCCAGTAAGACTGGCTTATCATCAAGAATATGGCTAGGCACTTGGTAGCTCATGGCTGTAATGCTATCTACTCAGGAGGCTGAGATCTGAGGACTGCAATTCAAAGCCAGCCCAGGCAGAAAAATCTGAGACTTTTATCTCCAATTAATCACTGAAAAGCCCGAAGTGGAGCTGTGGCTCAAGTAGTAGAGTGCTAGCCTTGAGCAAAAAACTCAGGGACAGCACCCAGACCTGGAGTTCAAACCCCAAGGAATGCTCCCCCTCCAAAAAAAAAAAAAAAGTATGAACAACAAGTGCTACAGGGGATGCAGGGGAAAAAGGAACTCTACACTGTTTGTGGGAATGTAAACTAGTACAACCACTCTGGATGGCTGTTTGGAGGTTCCTCAAACAACTAAACATAGAAGTTCCCCATGACCCAGTTGCCTCCTTGGTCAACTACTCACAGCATTTCAAGTCAGGATATGGTAAAGACATTTGCACTTCCATGTTCACTGCTGCACTATTCACAATAGCCAAGTTATGCAAACAGCCCAGATGCCCTACAACAGATGAGTGGCTCAAGAAAACATGGTAAGGGACTGGGAAGGTGGCTCCATGGTAGAGCGCTTGCCTTGCATGCTCAAGGCCCTGGGTTCAATTCCTCAGCACCACATAAGAAAAAAGAAAAAGCCGGAAGTGGCACTGTGGCTCAAGTGGTAGAGAGCTAGCTTTGAGCTGAAGAGCTGAGAGGGACAGCGCCCAGGCCCAGAGTTCAGGCCCCACGACGGACCCAAAAAAAAAAGAAAGAAAACATGGTAAAATACACAATGGAATTTTGTTCATCCATTAGAACGAATATTGTCATTTGCAAGGAAATGGATGGAACTATAATAAATCATGTTAAGTGAAGTAAGCCAGGCTCAAAAAGACAGTGTTTTTGTTCCTATGTGGAGGGTAGATCCAGTGACTCACACCTATAATTCTAGCTACTCAGGAGGCTGAGACCTGAGAATCATGGTTCAGTTTGAAGCCAGCCTGAGCAAGAAAGTCCATGTGACTCTTATCTCCAATAAACTACTCAGAAAAAACTGGAAGTGCAGGGTACTGGTGGCTCATGCCTATAATCCTAGCTACACCAGAGGCTGAAATCTGAGGATCAGGGTTCAAAGCCAGCCTGGGCAGGAAAGGCCTTGAAACTCTTATCTCCAATAAACCACCAGAAAACCAGATATAGTGCTGTGGCTCAAGTGGTAGAGTGCTCATCTTGAGCTAAAGAGCTCGGGGACAGCATCCAGGCCCAGAGTTCAAGCCTCATGACTGACAAAAAAAAAAAAAAAGCTGGAAGTGGCACTATGGCTCAAGTCATAGAGTACTAACTTTCAGCCAAAGAAGGACAGTGTCCAGGCCCAGAGTTCAAGTCCCAGGACCACCACCACCAATAATAATAACAACAACAACAAAAATAAAAATACAGTTAGGCATGCTAATCTATACAGGGTTATGCATATTGCATATACACACAAATAAGCCGACTAAAGAATGGTACACTTAGGGGAAGAATCCAGTAGTGTAACTCCTCTGAACAATGAACCATTTAACAAAATTCTAGAGGCTGAAATATGTAGGGGGTATGCAATGAAGGAAGGCACAGGAATGTAGAGAGGGAGAGGGAAAAAATGTAGTCAAGATAGTAGACGTACACTATGTAGAACTGAACTAGATAATGTGAAGGTAGGGATAGAATGGGAAAGCTGGAGAGAATAATGGAAGGGGTGACACTGACCAACATGCATTGTACTCATTACTGGACTTCTAGAATTGAAATCCCTTTGTACAACTACTTAATAAAAAAAAATACTGCTTTATAGCAGTATGTTACAGCTGGGTACATATTTGTTCCTGTCTCCATTTACCAGACACACACTACTTACATACAGAACTCTATCAAGGAAGAATCTCTCCATCTGAGAGAGAGGAAGAGTCAGAAGTACAGGGAGCCAAGTGTCTCGGTCAAGGTCCCCCAGGAGGCTGTGGTCTGGAGGGTGAATCTGGCCTATCTCCATATTTGACGCAATCCTCACCTACAGCGCCTGCACTACCATCTACTTTCCTTACCCACAAGCCTACAACTTGATGGTAGACTATGGACAACTCAAACAAGCTCTGCTGGATAGTGTTAGTGCCAAAAATGGCAGGGAAGGGACACGGAGAGTATGGAGGCTCAGACACTTCCTCTTGGGTGAGAAATCAAATACTAGTCAGTGGCATAACCATGCTCAGCTTCTATGTCTTGGTCCACAGCTCCAAATTTTTGTTTTTTCATTTGACTAAGCTAGTCATATTATAGAAAGGCCAAACACTTTATGGGTTATTTTGGATTTAGTGAAACTCCAATGAATTAATTAGCAAAAGATGTAGCAAAGTTGCACAGTTCACAGTAAGTGGGAAGGCTTGTGCTAGATGAGTGTATTACAGCTCCTGGAGGAGGTTTTGGGGTGAAGGGGCTGAATGGATAGACAAAGTAAAAGGGCAAGCCTTTGTGTGCTACTAGATAAAGACTTGGCATGAAGCTGGCACCTATGTGAGGCGTCAGGAGACAGTCAAGTGAGGACAGAAGCCAGGTCATGGAGAAGAGGCAAGCACTGAGCAGAAAAGGCTGTGAAGGCAGAGAAAATGAATCTATGGATTAAGACCAAGGTACTTTCCAAGGAAGGATACCTCTGAGTCAAAGAAAGGGGATGGGAAGACTTACCTTGCTGAAATACCAGAAATGACTGGAAAGGAAGGAGATGGTGTAAAAGGAAGACTTTGGTTTGAGAGCCCAAAATCAACTTCTTACTTTACATCCATTATATAGATGGATTCAATTCTCTGACATGTTTTTAGTCCATAAATGAGGAGTCCTCAAAACATAGAATGCATATTTTTTTGGGAGGCTGGGCTCAAATTCAGGGTCTCATGCATACCAGGCAAGCACTCTACCACTTAATTACGTATGCGTATACATCTATCTATCTATCTATCTACACATATGTGTTTATCTATCTGTGTATGTATGTATCGATCGATCGATCCATTTTTGAGACAGAGTTTTTCTATGTTGCCTGGGTTGATCACAATCCTCCTCCCTCAGCCTACTGACTAGCTTGGGCTACAGGCATATGTGACCACATTCAAATTTCAACTCAGGCCTCATGCCTGCTAGACTATGCTCCTAGCCGAGAGAGAGAGAAGAGAGAGAGGAGTGAGAGAGGAGAGAGACACAGAGACAGAGAGAGACAGAGAGGGACAGAGTATTTATGCATATCTGTACATATTTTATTTTCTTTGACAAGGATATTATATTTACAGAAGGATAGTTTAGATTTCTAATTTGTTGGTTTGTTTTTTTGCAGCACTGAGAATAGAATCTAGGTACCTTGAACATGGGTTCCATAAACTTTCACACCAGAACTTTACTAAACCAATTCCTTGATCACTTCTACTTACTTAAACAAGCAACACTCCCATACTAACAGCCACTAGAAGAACACTGGTACTATGCTGCCAACTAGCTGTATCCTAGCAAGGTGTGCCCAAGAGGTATGTTCAGTTCTTCATCAGTTTTCAAAAATCAACTTTTCTTATTTTTCTCTGGCTTTACAGAAACAACCACTAGACCACATCCCTCTACCAGGAGTTCAGCAGATCAAACCCCAGACTACTAAAAAAAGACAAGGCAAAGTTGTCTAAAAATACTAGTTTCAACTAGATCACTGTTGCAGAAAATACTATGACATATTTCTTTTAAGTAGTTAATGCCACCTACAGATAAATAAGAAATTTTGTAAATAACTAGAAGCACCAACTTTCATTTGTGTATATATTACGTATATAGTAAATCTGAACCAAGTGTATCTATTTTTGCTGATAAGCAGCAGAGTTCTCAGATAAAAACAAATCTCAGGCTGGGAGTATAGCTCAATGCTAGAGGGCTTGACCAGCAGCACAAGGCCCTGGATCCTAGCCCCACACTGTCCTCACTCTTCGTGATTGTACCTGGCTGGGGCTTGCTGGAATGCTGCTGTGGCCCAACTCCAGGGAGGGGAGGAGGGCTCCCCCCTGCAGGCCCAGCGCCCGGTGCTGGGTGCACACTGGTCGGAGTCCCCGTGGGCAAAGGCTGGCCTCTTTTTAACAGCTGCTTCTGTTCTTGTTGGCGGAAGCGCGGAGGCACCTCTCGAGGCAGGTAACGGGATGCAGCTGGCTGCTGGCCACTGGTGGACGCACGTTTGCCATTGCTGCTGCTGGAGATAGTGCTGGTGGAAGTACTGGTACAGGTACCGGCAGGTTGGGGCTGGCTTGAACAGGTCTTAATAGGTTCTGGCACTGAAAAGAATGAAAAGAAAAAGAAGCAAAGGTTTAGTAGCACCTCCTCAAAATCCAACCCAAACAAAAGGAAAAATGCCATGGAGTACTTTCAAACAGAGCTGGTCTAAAGTAGAGTTGTAGGTTTGATACCCAGTTTCCCCACAAGAGAACTACAACCTTATCTCAAGCCAGACAGTCTCATCTGTGTCAAGAGTAGAACTGCAGTTAGTTCTCATACCTGACTTTTGTCAGAATTACCAAGGGATCATAAAAGCCCAGAAGACTTAGTCCCTGCCCAAGACTTTCAGGCTAGAGACTGAGAGTGTCTGTTAAGTTCTGAGGTAATAATGCTGCTGCTGCTGCTTCCTCCCAGGCTACCACTGTTCATGGTTAGGGTTTATACAGATCATGAGATCCTCAGATGTTCATGAATTTATAATACATATATGCGTGTGTGTAAACAGACATATATACCCATACATGTGTGCACATTTTTTGAATTTTTCGTACATTTTTGGCTCCTGAACAACTAAAGCTGAACACCATCAGTATCAGCATTTGTGGCTCTGATAAAATTGTTGGGCAGGAATGCAGGTGGCCTGCTCAACCATGGCACCAATGCTAATAAGTACACTAGCACCAAGGCTGTGCAGTGTCCCTGTATGTTGGTGTCAGTCAGCTAGTCTCACCTTCATCTTGAAAGTGATACATCATTTTATATTACCATGCTCATCACCTTGTTTCAATATTTGGGAGGGAAAGGTTTCTTTTTTTTTTTTTTTGGGTCCGGTCATGGGGCCTGAACTCTGTCCCTCAGCTCTTCAGCTCAAGGCTAGCGCTCTACCACTTTGAGCCACAGTGCCACTTCCGGCTTTTTTCTTTTTGCTTATGTGGTGCTGAGGAATCGAACCCAGGGCCTCGAGCATGCAAGGCAAGTGCTCTACCACTGAGCCACCTTCCCAGCCCCAAAGGTTTCTATTTAATCTATAAATGTCTTCAGTTTAAATCTGAGTGAATGCTATGTAAAAAATGAATTTATAGGGCCGGGAATGTGGCTCAATGGTAGAGTGCTTGCCTTGCATGAAGCCCTAGGTTTGATTCATCAGTACCACACAAACAGAAAAAGCCAGAAGTGGCACTATGGGTTAAGTGGTAGAGTGCTAGCCTTGAGCAAAAAGCAGCTCAGAGACAGGCCCTGAGTTCAAGCCCCAGGATGGGGGAAAAAAAAAAAAAAGAATTGTTACATCGTTTTGGGTCTATCTGAAGTATAAGGATGCCCTTCTGAGTTTAACTATTTTAGTCAACACTGGTAGGTCCGTAAGATACTGTATTTTCCTTCATATTTCCAGCTTTAGCTAGCATGCGGTTTGGTTTCTCAAGAGATAACTACCATGACAGTCTGCTTGCTAACATTTTTTATACCTCTGCTTGTCTTCCTGTTATCCTCCCGTCTAGCAAGACCTCAATCTAGATGAAGCCATCATCTACTCTCTCCACTCTGACTCCCACAGCTAAGGATCTCTTAAGAAAATGGTGTGGCCATTTCGTCTGATGCCACTGTGACTGCATGGCCCCTAGGTGCTTCCGGTTAATCCCACTTGGACCTGATGACTGGGGTCAATGGCTCATTTATTCAAAGACTTTCCACTCAAACCGCTAATCTCTTCTCCAATGCTAGATGAAGTAGTAGGGGTGTTCACCAGCAGTCCTCCTTCCTTTCCTAGTAGTATGTGTGTGAGGTGCATCTTACCATCAGTGGTCTAAGAAAGATGAGAGTTGCCTAGGCCTTCACCCCACATCTATTCCAAAGAAGACACAAAGACCCTCAGGTAGGACTGGCTTTAGATTAACTCATTAATTTATGAATAATTACACGTGTTTTAGCCAGGGCTTGAATCCACTGAGTATCATGGATGATCTGGTCACTTGTGTTGGCTGTTTGCATGCAGAGAGCAGGAAGTTACAGTTTCAATGGCAACTGGCCCAAGCACTCAAACCTCTATTCTCTTCTCCAATGCCAACAAGCAGTCTTTCTCCTTGGCTCCCAATTCCTCTTTAGCTGCCTCCCAATCTCCTTCGTTTAATCCAGTCAAACTCCTTGGAGTTTGTGAAAGCTACCTTTTCCTGTTTCTCCACTTGACAGTCTTCCTTTATCTAACTTTTCACAAAAAATGGACTGCCCAATGAAATGCTAAACTGTATACCACAATCTTGATTGTTATTTTCTGACCGATCATTCTTTTTTTTTTTGGGTCCGGTCGGGGGGCCTGAACTCTGGGCCTGGGCACTGTCCTTCAGCTCTTCAGCTCAAGGCGAGTGCTCTACCACTTGAGCCACAGTGCCACTTCCAGCCTTTTTTCTCTGCTTATGTGGTGCTGAGGAATCGAACCCAGGGCCTCATGCATGCAAGGCAAGTGCTCTACCACTGAGCCACCTTCCCAGCCCTGACCGCCCATTCTTTAGACCACGCTCAGATCATCAGTGAGAACCAATCTTCCCAGCTCATTTGGCAGGCCTCCCGTCTCTTAAGGTCTTATCACGACTCTTTTCTACTTGATACACATCCTGGGACATTTGATCTACTCCTATGGCTTCATTATCAATCCTGCAACCATGTTTCAAGTGCCAGATGGCTACTGGATACTGCCATCTAGTCATTTACTAACACCTCAAATTCAACATGTTCCCAATACTCACTGGTTTTCTTGCCTCACTCTTTCTTCTAAGTCTTCCAGTTTCCTAAAGATTTATTACAAAATTCAAAGGAAGCAGAAGAGACGTGAAGACAGAATTAAGTATATGTGCTGCCGAAGCAAACACAAGACAGAATTAATAAAGAGACCAGCCAGGTGCTAGTGGCTGTAATCTTAGCTACTCAGGAGGCTGAGACCTGAGGATCGTGGGTTGAAGCCAGCCAAGGCAGGAATGTCCCTGTGAGACTCTTATCGCCTGTTAACCACTGAAAACCAGAAGTGGAGCTGTGATTCAAGTGGTAGAGCACTAGCCTTGGGCACAGAGAGGCTCAGGGACAGTGCCCAGGTCCTGAGTTCAAGCCCCACCACTGATTAAAAGAGAGGGGAGGAGGAGAGGAGAGAGAGAGAAAGAGAGAGAGAGAGAGAACAATTGGGTGCCAGTGGCTCACGCCTGTAATCCTAGCTACTCAGGAGGCTGAGATCTGAGAATCACAACTCAAAGCGAGCTGGGGCAGGAAAGACCATGAGACTTTTTTTGGTCAGTTGTGGGGCTTGAACTCTGGGCCTGGGCACTGTCCCTGAGCTCTTTAGCTCAAGGAGAGCACTCTACCTCTTGAGCCAGAGCACCACTTCCAATTTTTCTGGTGGTTAATTGGCGATAAGAGTCTCATGGACTTTCTTGCCCGGGCTGGCTTTGAACCGTGATCCTCAGATCTCAGCCCTCTGAGCAGTAGGTTTACAGGCATGAGCCACAGGCACCTACCTGTGAGACTCTTATCTCCAATAAACTATTCAGAAAAAGCCAGAAGTGGTGCTATGGCTCAAGTGGTAGAGTGCTAGCCTTGAACCAAAGCAGCTCAGAGACAGTGCCCAGGCTGAGTTCAAGCTCCAGGACAGAAAGGGCAAAAGGCAAAGGGCAAAGAGCAAAGAGGAAAGGGGAAAAGGAAAAAGGGAAAGGGGAAAGGGGAAGGGGAAGAGGAAGGAAAGGAAAGGAAAGGAAAGGAAAGGGAAGGGAAGGCAACAATGCTTGATAGGAAATGTACTCTTTACCTTGCTCATGTAACTTTAACCCCTCTGTACAGTATTTTTACAATAAAAACATATTAAAATTTAAAATAAAGAAAAGAAAGAGACCTACTAGTGAACTTCAGAAAGTTCTATCTGGTCTTCCCATGAAAACATAGTTTTTCTCTTTATAAATAACTTCTTTCTATAAATCCAGGTTTTCATGAAGTGAGAGTACAGCAAGATCATGGGAATTATTTTAACTTGACTGTTTATGGATGTCAATAAGTCAGTTATTTAGAAAAACAAAACCATTTAATAACTACACAGCTCACATTAAATCTGTCAGCAAGCCAGAAATATTGGCTACTCTAATAAGCTTTTACCTTTTTCAAATGAGGGTGACATCTGGTGGTGAAAGATAGTTAACAATTTCCTTGAGAAAGCAACATTCTTAAATTTTGTTTGCAAAAGAAGTTCATTGTTAGCTGGGTGCCAGTGGCTCACACCTGTAATCCTAGCTACTCAGGAGGCTGAGATCTGAAGATCACAGTTCAAAGCCAGCTCCAGCAGGAAAAATCTCCAATAAATCACTCAGAAAACTGGAAGTGGCACTGTGGCTCAAGTGATAGAGCATTAGCCTTGAGCTGAGGACCTGTGCCCAGGCCCAGAGTTCAAGCCCCACAACCGACAAAAAAAAAAGGTTCATTCTTAGCATGTAGGGATGTTTATTATTGACTATAAGGAATCAACTTGTAATGCTTTAAGCTAATAAAATCTCACAGTAAATAATACCTGGTTCAAGAAAATCACTGCTTTCTACTTAGGTCATATAATAGAGAAGGTAAAGAGGTTCAAAGTGCTAAATGCACCTATGGAATTATCACAGTGAAAACCCCCTTAAAAAAGTATCCTCAAAATTATCTTTTAAAAAGAAAAATCACTGCAGTTGTAAGGACTGCCTCCTAGAATACAGAAAAAAAGCAGTACTTTTAAAACTATTTTTTGGAAACAGTCTTTGGCTTTCAGCAGCTCAAAATTCCTACTATTGCTTTCCCCCAAACTCAGGCTTCACTGAAGACAGGAAGTTCTGACTGCCTATTGAAGAACTTTATTAGGAGTGCCTTTTCAAATTGTCCCCCTGACCTTGTAATACTGGGGATTAAACACAGGTCCCTATGCTTTCTTTATAAGGCAAGTGCTCTACCACATGAGCCACACCCCCAGAAACTTTACACATCTCATCATCTCTACGGGAGGGAGGGAGAAAGATCATGCCTAGCTGACCCAGTGGTCAGCACATAACGCCCTCCCACCCCC